CCCCCCCCCCCCCCCCCCCCCCCCATATCCACAGCACACGGACGGACCTCTCTCTGTGTCTGTCTCTTATGGCATGCAATGCATGGTGCAGATGAGCAAGATGCTGGACGTGCTGGAGGACTTCATCAACTTGCACGGCCACACTTATGTGCGGCTGGACGGCAGCACCAAGGTCGAGAACAGACAGCGGCTCGTCGAGACCTTCAACGCCAACAGGAAGATCTTCCTCTTCATCTCCTCCACACGCGCCGGCGGCATCGGGCTCAACCTCACTGGCGCAGACACCGTCATCTTTTACGACTCCGACTGGAACCCCGCCATGGACCGACAAGCCATGGACAGGCACGCCACGCACCAGACCAGTCCCCGCAGAGAGGGATGCGTGTGTGTTGCTGTGCTGTGTGTGCGCTGCAGGTGTCACCGTATTGGTCAGACGCGGGACGTCCACATCTACCGGCTGATCAGCGAGCACACCATCGAGGAGAACATTCTGCGCAAGCAGCTGCAGAAGCGCCAGCTCGACGACGTGGTGGTCGACCAGGGCAAATTCACCACAGACTTCATGAGCAAAACGGACGTCAGAGACGTACTCGTGGTCAGTCAGTGCGCCGACCACCCCCACCCCACCCTTACACCCACCCTCACCCTCTCTCTCTGTATCTCTCTGTCTGTCTGTTGTCACACCACGAGATCAGAAACTGGCCGACACCAGCGATCTGTACCAGACGCGAGTGCTGCACGACCAGCAGCCGGCCGAGGAGGGCGGTGTGGCCGTCACCAAGAGGCCTGTCGAGGGCGTCAGGGAGGCCGAGGCATTCGAGAAGGCCCTCGCACAGGTGGAGGACGCCGCGGACGTCATCGCACTCAGGAGCGCCAAGACCGAGAAGGCTCACGAACAGGACGAGTTCAAACGGGTGACAGAGTGCACACGCCCACATGGATGGATGGATGGGCTCATGTTGCTGTGTGTGTGTGTTTGGTGTTGTCAGGAGTTCACGACGTCTCGCCGCGCGATGGCAGCAGCAGCAGCTGGCACGCCCGAAGAGGCGAGTGAGACGATCGTCTCGGGCGGCGGGCCGGCCAAGAAGAGCACAGAGGAGACGGTGCTGCTGCGGATCGACGACAAGACCGTGGTGGAGCTCACCCCACTCATGGCATACGGACTCAGATTCCTCGAGCAGGTACCTACCGACTACACTGCACTCCCTGCCCTGCCACCCCCTTCCACACGCGTGTCGGTCGATCTGTCTGTCTGTCTGTCTGTGTCAGTTTTTCCCGCCTGACGAGGAGCAGCAGCTGGCGGCAGTGGTGCAGGAGGACATTGAGGCGGCTGCCGAGGCGCAGCAGGAGGGAGACGAGGGTGAGGGTGGCGAGGAGGAGGAGGATGGCTCGAGTGTGGCGAGCGATCAGGTGTGGTCCAGCCAGGCCAGCTCGAGCGAGGAGGAGGGCGGGGACGACGAAAACGATGCCATGGACGAGGACTGAGTGATGGATGGGTGTGACTGTCTGTCTGTCTGTCTGTCTGTTCGAACGAATCGACACTGGAGTGCTCGTGTGTGTGTGCGTCTACTCTGAATGAGTGCATTTCCTTCCAGCTTGTGCCTGCGTTGCGTCACGGTGGTTGAGCTCCAAACAGCATTGCATGCACTGCATCAAGTGAGTGAGTCCTTGGTGGTGGTGGTGGTGGTGGTGGAATCATGTAAGTCTATGTCTGTGTCTCCCTCCCCGCATAGCATAGCATACACACGTATCAATCAATCACACCATCCACCCAGAGAGACCCGCGGAGGGCTACGGACGGCAACGGCACCTCGCCTTTCGGTCCTTCCTTGCAGGCAGGCCTGTTCTCTTCTCTTCTCTCCGCCCGTCGTCATGACAGTCATGGCACGTGTGTGGTGGGTAGAGTAGAAAGCACTCCCGCTCATGTGTAAGAAAGAAACAAACGTGACTGCATGAAGGAAGCACAGCATCCGTTTCGCTTGCCGCTTGCGTGGCTCTTCTTCTTAGCAGGCCAGGTATCCATTCCCGACGCCAAAGCAACTCGTTGTCTGAGTATCGAGGAACTCAGACACCGTGTGGCCTTCGCGACGGGAACGCGTAACAAGGCCCACAACGAAGCAAGAAGCGCGGCCCACACGTCATGTCAGTCAATCCACCACATCAAGCCAGTCCGTGACGGGGCAGGGGCAAGCCCACCCCCCCACCCGCACCTCACACACCCGACCCCAGCAGCCCAGCCCGCCTCGCTGCTGGCCTGCCTGCCTGCCTGCCTGTCTGCCTTTCGTCCCGACCAGACAGACAGACACGCCAGTTGAGTGCTGTTGGTTGTGTCGGTGGCAGGCAGGCACCAGGGTGAAAGGTAGGCAAGCAAGCAAGCAAGCAAGCAGGCAGGCAAGGCACACAGCAGACCAAGAGAGGAAGCGTCGTAGTAACAGGGAGGCAGGCAGTCAAGGGAACAGACCTCGGCAGCGGAGCATCGAGTCAGGCAGGCAGGCAGGAAGCGGTCGAGTGCATCAGAGACGCTCTCGTGTGAGGTGCATGGTGCGTGCAGGCGGGCCTGCTTGCGCGGGTTTCGGGCGGAAGTACCGGTGCAAAACGCACAGTCGGTTTACACATACAGTTCCCCGCCCACCCATCCGCCGCACACGGCTCGCTCCCTCGTGCCGTGCCACGGACCTTTCTGATATATCGGTAGACCGATCGGTCGGTCGCCATGACATCCATTTGCAAACACGCTCGTTTACACCAACCGATGCATACGATGGATGGCACAGCAGACAGGGGGGCAAAGGAGTGAGTGCATGCCGTCACCCACCCAGTAAAGGCACCCAGTCAGCAGCAAGGGGGAGCAATCAAGGGACAAGGAAGGATAAGGAGCAAGGAGGGAGAGAGAAACGGGGGCTCGGCAGGAGAGCGAGCCATGAGTAGTGAGAGAGACAAGCGGCCACACCACACCACACCACACCACAACACACCGTGACCCATCCACCGAACACACCACACCACCACACACCACATGTCACGAGAGAGTGCGTGGACGGAACAGAAAGATGTGAGCAAGACGGACGTGCTGGTGCAAACACCGCGCACATCGACGTCTCTCTGCCTCATTCCATCTGTCTCTCCAATCAATTACCAGGTAGCCATATGTCTCGGTGTGTCTGTCGGTGTGCAATGGACGACTGTAGTTGGTGCACTGTCGATGGCATGTCTGTGTGTGTGTGTGTGTGTGTTATGCGGGTCCGGAGGGTGCGCTGGCGGCGTCCTCCACCTTCTTGAGCTTCTTCCCCCCCAACTCAACCAAATAACTCAGATCCAACTCACGAGCCTAAAAGCAAGCGTTGCACCATGCCACACCCCACACCCTCTCTCTGATTGGCTTCTCCCTTGCAGGTAACTGTGTTGCATACCCGCTGCATGGCGTTCTTGACCTCGTCTGGCGTGTTGGCATTGCGGAACACCTCCCTGATGGACACACACACACACACACATACTCAGACAGTATAAGGGCATACACAGGCCGTCCACCCCATGGCACGCCCTGCTCTGCTCACTTGAGTTGCTCTTCCTCCTTCCGCTGCTGGTCGGTCATGGCGGGTGCACTGCCCGACGCGCGACCGCCCGCTCCGCCCTTGCCAGCTGCGTTGGCAGGCGACGCGGACTTGTCAGCAGCCGCACCGGCACCCTTGGCGCCACTGCCACCACGACGTCCGTTGTGGCGACGACGGTTGCGGCCGCTACGGTCTCCCCGACCTGATAAACAGCAAGACAAGACACGTAGGAGGTATGGTATGGTGATGTGTGTGATGGTACGAAGTGTTGTGTTGTGTTGTGTTGTTGGGTACCGTTTTCGTCCTTGGCGCCCTCTTCGGGTGTTTCGCCATGGCTCTCGTCGCCGCGGGCCGCCTGGGAGGCCGGGGTGCCGTCCTCGGGAGACTTGGGGGCGGCAGCTTCATCACTGAGCACCAGGTACACACACGTCCAACCGAGGAGGCACATGGCAGTGCATTCGACCTGGATCGGATCTCTCCGTCTTTCTTCCCTTGGCTTACGTGTGAGCGAGTCCCTTTTGCCTCCACTGCACTTGGGGGACCTTGGGCTGAATGTCCTGCCGAGCAGTGCCGCGACCTCGCCGCCGTCGGCGCCCACTGTTGCCGCCACCGCCCTCACCGCCATGGCCGTCCTCGTCGTGCTGGTCCTGCGCTTCGGGCGACTCCTCAGCTGGCAACGACCCAGCTGCCTCACTCGAACGACCCTGGACGCTTCCCTGATACACACACAACAACACAGGGCGCGACAGAGAGGGAGGAGAGGTGTGAGGGACGGGTGGTGTGGGTGGTGTGTAGGGTGGGCGTATGTTGTGCTTACTGTGAGTAGCTGGTGTAGCTCGTGGATGACGACTTTGAGCTGGCCGACCTCGCGGGAGCTGCGCAGGCTCTTCTGCTTGACGTCATTCAAGTCGGAGCGCAACGCCTGACGAGCCACACACACAGACAGACACACAAAGGGAGAGTGTGGTGTGCCCACCGGCCGCACCCGCACACACGCAGATCTGTCGCCAGCCATGCCCCACCACCCTCCCACGTCACACGTGCGAGACACACGCAGTGCCCGGCTGCCTCATCTCATCGCCCGCCTCTCTCCCGCCCGAGTTGACATGTGCGTTGTGGTGGCTGACCTTGACCTCCTCTGCGAGTGCCTTGACCTTCTCGTCCAGCTCCTCCTGGGTCGTGACGGCTGCCTGGGAGGGATCTGCGTCCGCAGCCTTCGCGCCGTTGGTCAAAGTGGAGGGCTCAGCTGACTCTGTCGCCATCGTTAGGTGCACAAACGGCCGGCTCGCTTGTCTGAGGCTGCCTTAGTGTTGCGAGCTGGGAGGCGGTTTCACGCTATGCCCTACCAAGATCGTGGCATCTTTATGCTCGAAGCACAAGGCTGGCATCACTGCTCCGTGGGCCAGCCTATGCCAATTTGGCTCAGAATCATCCTCCTCGTCTCTGCTTTCGGCGTCACCATCCATCTCTGCTCGCACCTGTGCTGTTTCCACGTCGCCCTCCTCGTCTACAGCTCACAGGAGCGCGCCTACCTCCAGTCCCAACACGCCGTCTGGGAGTCGGTCTAGATCTGCCACCGCACAGCATGAGCCGCAGTGCAGATGGCCACGATGAGGCCGGGGAGGCTGAGGATGGGCCTGGCGGCCACTCGAGCGCTGCGGCTATAGCAGCAGAGGATGAGGGCGATGGTGCGCCAGGTGTTATTGACTGGTCTGCGCATCGCATCACGCCATTCCAGCGGCGCGTGTTTGAGGCGCTGATGCGTGTGCCTGCGGGGAAGGTGACGACCTACAAGGCACTGGGCGAGGCGGTTGGCTGTGGATCTGGCCAGGCTATTGGACAAGGTAAGGTGGGTGCGGTGCACTGGGGGGATGGGATGGATGTGTGGAAGTGGGGATGGGTGGGATGGATCTCTGTGTCCTGTGCTCGTGAGGTACCTGTGTTGTGGTGCAGCGATGAAGAGAAACCCGTTCGCCCCGGCGGTTCCCTGACACAGGGTCGTCAACGCTGACCTCACCATCGGCGGCTTCGGTGGGGAAGAGGAACGCTTGCCGGCCTGCCTGCCTGCCTGCCTGCCTGGATCACCTCACCTCTGGCTGTTGTCTGCAGGTGGCCGTTCAGGTCCCGACAATCCCAATCTGCCTGACAAGGTCAGGCGACTGCAGCAGGAGGGCGTCACGGTCAACAAGGCGCCGGGCAGTCGCGACAGCAGGATTCCAAAAGAGTTCCTCTTCGACCTCGGATCAGGCAAGACCGCCCTGGAGGACCACAGACAAGAGCAGGACAGGCAGCCGGGTGTGAGGGCAGGGGACAAGCGCCAGCTTTCCCTAGGCAACCATGGCAACGATGATGTGCCCAAGAAGAGACAGAAGAACGGCTAGGCTAGACTAGAGGAGGGGAATGTGATGTGCGGCATGGCATCAGCACGTTTTCGAGTGGGTGGATGTGTGCTGCCTGCCTGCCTGCCTGCTGCGGTGCCTCTGCCTGGTTGCTTCATCTTGCGCGCGTGTGATGCTCATCGCCGCAAGGATGCGTGCGAGCATCTGGTGATGGGCTGATAAGCATGCGAGAGAGGAGGCGAGGCGAGGCGAGGCTCGTGCGGCTGTACTGTATAGACAGACCCTTCATTGTGAAGACAGACAGACGTTTTTGAGGCCGTCAACTGATTGATTCATTGAATTGAAACGACGAGCGACACACCATGGAAGGAATGCAAGGAAGGTCCATTCAAAAATCCAGAGAGCCACAGCCACCCATCGATCTGGCTGTCTATGTTGTGACACAGGCGCCATGGGCACATGTGCGTGGATCATCCCTCCCTCCCACCCCCCCGCCCCTCCCCTCCCCTCCCCCCTCCATGCAATGCAGAGTCCGTCAGTGAATTATGCTCACACGCACCCCCCCC